TTTCCATGTATAAGACACCCCATGTATAAGATGTGCCTCCCCACTTTTCTAACCCAAAATTAAGAAATCTAAGTGGGGCTTAGCAAGTGTAGGGGGAAAGGGATCAAAGCACTGCAGGATCACTTTGATATCTGCTTTCTCCCTTTGTCCTAAGTCCCACAGGGTTTAGCAAAATGAGGGGGAAAGGGATCAAAGCAATCTCGCAACTGCATGATCATTTTGATTCCTTTCCCCCTTATACAGCTACGGGATTGCTTGGATTCTTCCCCCTCCTTTTGTTAAGCCCCATGGGACTTAGCAAGCAGAGGAAAAAGCAGGGATCAAGCTATCCTGAAGCGCTTTGATCCCTGCTTTCCTTTTGCTAAGGATTACCAAGTGGAGGGGAAAGCACGGATCAAGGTCTTACAGGAACAATTTAATTCCTGCTTTCCCCTCCACTTGTTTTTACAGGAACAATTTAATCCCTGCTTTCCCCTCCACTTGTTTTTGTACTTTCCTCAGCCTACTTCTGTCTATAAGACGACCCTCAATTTTTAGTCTAAAAATTTTAGACAAAAGTATAGCCTTATACACGGAAAAAATACAGTACATTGCACCTGAACAGCCTTCTTTGGATCACACAGAGATGTACAAAGATACTGCTTAACTAAGAAGAGCAGACTGGACAAACAGTGCTAAAACTATGCAGTATCTCAAGATGGTTGTACAACACTGGGCTGCACTCAACAAAACAGCATGGCAGTGGCACTTCTGAAATGATCCACAAAGGGCTCCCATAGGAACAAGGTGCTTCGCTTGACGATGATAATGTTCCCTTAAAATTGCTGTTAAGCGAAATTGTCATCTGATGTTAAGTGAAATTGTCATCAAGCAAAATTAAAAAACCCATTGAAATGCATTGAAAACCATTCAATGCATTCCAATGGGCGAAATACCTCATCGTGCAGCGAAGATCCTCCATAGGGCGGCCATTTTCCAGTGCCTGGTTAGGCGAAGAATCTGTCCTAAAAACAGTGGGGAGCCATTTTACACAACGGGTGGCCATTTTGCGACCCACCGATCAGCTGTTTGGAAATCATCGTAATGCGAAGAACTGGTTCCCAAAGCAGGGAACCGATCGTCGCAAAGCGATTTTTCCCTGTAGGAACATCGTTTTGTGATTGCAAAAAACCATCATAAAGCGGATTCGTTGTTTAACGAGGTAATCGTTAAGCGAGGCACCACTGTATTTGTTTGTACTTCCCCTTCTTAAACCCTGTACTGGAAAGGATGCCAAGTCTCTGTGGAATGATGCCATCCATGTATTTCAACCATGGGACTTTAATGCCATTTTCTGAAAACAAATCAAGCTAACAAGGGCCTTTGTTGCTGTTTTCTTTCAAGAGGGTGGTTTTGACAACTATATAAAGCCTCAAAATTTGCACCTCATCATATGAAGCCATTGCATTTTGCTCAAAAAAAATCTCATTAAAATTTCTCTAGTTAAAGTTTATGATTTTAACAGGAACGCAGACTGCACAATGCTGCTAATATGTGGCTAAAAATTAGTGGGGCTCCCATTGCTAAACATCACATGTTAGCATGTGTTGCTTATCTAGAAGCCAGTACAAGTGGAAAAAAACACCCCTGCACATTGCAGCAAACAGGTAAGAAAAATATACATTTCTCAGGAGTCTTGTTTAAATAAGGATGCCTGACCTTGAACTATTAGAAAATATTAGTAAGAATAATAGTATTAGCTCATCAAAGCCAAGCAAGTTGGAACCTGCCAGGCCTCCAAGACAGCAATCTACTTCTAGAAACAAATACTCCTTTGCAAGAGTAGCAAGTTGGGTGAAACTGAGCATCCTAACTGTACTGGCTCAGGAAAATAAAGAGTAGTTTTAGATAAAAGAGACAGGTTCCTGGTCTTCAACAAAGAAACGTTAATTAAACAAATAGGAATGCCAGGAAGCATATGCATCAGTGGTGGTGAGGTGCACAAACAGTAGGACAAAGATGGAAAGCATCACAAAGAGGATGCTTCACATACTTTTTGTGTTTTCCCCCTACCAACTCTTTTTTGTAATGCAAGTCAAGATATTGTATTACAGCTATAAACTATGTAAGGAAAAATATGAGTGTTTTGGAGATTTGAGAGTAACGTCAGCTGTGCCACTGTGCTTCTAGAGGCTTTTTTGGTTTATCCTTTGAAATAAGACAAAGGATCCCCCCACAGTAATTACTTCAGAATCATTGTACACAGGGATTCAATCCTTTCCCTTCTGTTACTGCAAAAAGCTTTTAACCATGTAAAGGAAAATATATAGAAACTGTATATGTTTTTCCTCTTCACAGATAAGAACAGTCGAGGGAGCGCAGTGTGGGAAGATTAAAACAGTTTTTTACCTGTGTTTGGAGCTCCAATCTAAATCAGAACCACCAATGGGTTTTTAAAACAAACAAACAAAAACACAATGAAGGAAAGAGTGTGATTTCCCAGCAGCTTTTAAATGAGATGCAGCCTGTGGGAGAAATTATTCTCAAGCACTTTCCTCAATCAGAATGATTCTTATACAACATAGCATAAGATACAACTGATTTTTCTTGCCTTGGCCCTCAAATGATAACTTCTATGTCAGCACTGCTTACTCTATGACACATGAAACCAGATGCAGCACATCAGCCATATAACTGTGCCCTACCAGGTGCTTGCCATAGGCTTCTCCCCCCCCCACCTGCCCATCTTTGCAGTTTCAAAAAGGCAGATAAAAGAGGTAACTTGCAGAACATCTGAGGACTTAGCACACATAAGCTTGTGGTTTGCATTTACATTGGTGGGTCCCAAGTTTTGCACACCTGTATTTTTAGTTACAGAGAGATTGGTATCTTTATTACAACTGTAAAAATACTTCAATAAATCTCAATAACATCTTGGCAGGGATTCCTTTCAGCATTCAATACTTGATGAATGTAGGGAATGTTTGAATAATCCAACAGCCTCCAGTGGGGAAGAGTTATTCAAGGTCCTTGCTTTCTACTTCTGTTCTACTAGAGAGGTCAGAAAAATACTTAGTCTATTTCAGCAGTTCTTAACCTTTTCTTTACTACGGACCCACTTTAAATATCTTTTCTTGCTGCGGATCACCAAGACTTATCTCAAGATTTAAAACTCTAAAGAGCATCAAATACTTATTTAAAGTATCTCATGACGATGTATTCTCAAAGGTTTTCACGACTGGGATCTGATGGTTGTTGTGGGTTTTTCGGGCTCTTTGGCCGTGTTCTGAAGGTTGTTCTTCCTAACATTTCACCAGTCTCTGTGGCCGGCATCTTCAGAGGACTGGAGAAGGAACTCTGTACAGACACATTCTGTCTCTCAGCCACTCAGCACCATTCACTTGCTTTTTCTCACCATATGCAGAAATGGCAAGCAGCTATTTGCTATCAAACATTTATTTTCATAAACAATTTTTACTTTTGTTTGTTTTAAATGGAGATGATAGGTTAGAAAAGCCAAATTTTACAGAAACAAGCAAGGAAATTTTAAATTTTGTTCTATGTTTCCCTTTGTTTTTATTTTAACTGCTGAAGATCAAAATATTTCTCCAGGCCTTTGTGGATCCCCTGTGAGGACATAATGGGCCTCCAGGGGTCTGCAGACTACTGGTTAAGAACCTATGGTTTAGTTCAAACTCTCCAGAGAAGCCAATCGGACAAGCTTTCAGACTGGCTACCATTTTGAAGCCAACATTGGATTATTTGGCTAGTTGAAAGACAGACGCTTTTGAACATTTCTCTGAGTCTTTAATGAGAATTCCAAACCAGTATATCTGATCAAAACCATGAGCCAGTGTATAGCAAAACATACCCTGGAAGGATACAGAACATGAAGTGTCAAATGTCACAAAACTGACAATTGTGCGTCACTTTACCTTGTAAGCAGCTGCCATTTTGAGCCAAGGCTGTGGAGGCAGTGTACAAACAAACGAGCAAATAAAGCAGGATAGAAACAACAAATGATAATAGTAAAAGTACTGACCATTCATATTGGTTAGAGGTCATCAGAGGATTAATTCCTTATTATAATAAAGTGTTACTGTTTAAAGTATACAAATATTATTGTAAGTTTTTTGGTTTACTTTTTGAATTTTTGCTTTTGCTATTTGACTAATGTGTGATATAACTACTAATGATCTCAATTGCAATCACTGTAACCAATCCCCGATTTCCTGAAATAATGTATTCTTCTATGCCATTAGATTTATTATCTGCCAAGTAAATCTTGTAAAGATACTCTAAGAATAAAATTACGCCTACTTTTATGGTTGATAGTTTTGGTTTCTCATTAAATGCCCTTCCTGGCTAGGTGATGCTGTGTAGCCAGTGACCATGCAGAGTATCATGTATTATGCAATGCTGGACAGCTCAGTGGTGTAGGTATCTGACTGCAGAACAAGACATTGAGAGTTGAATTTCCCACTGTGTCCTCCCTGACAGGAATTGAACTTGGTGATTCCGAAAGTCCCTCTTCCAGCTGTACTGTGCTGAGATAATTCCACACACAAATAAAGACTGGCCCTTTACATCAACATTATTAGCTTGCATATTTAGAATGAAAGGATAGGAAATGAAAGCGGGGCAACGCCCCCCCCCACTTAGAGAA